TACCCCGAAAACTTTATGGGGATATTTTGGTCAATTTATATTTTGCGAATTATTTTTTTCATATCTTTATTAGGTGAGCCTCATTAAGATGTACACACTTTCAGATCATTTCAATTTGTAAAAAAAAAATGAAAATTGAAACTAAACCAGACAACCGTGACCGTGCGATGAACTATGGATGATAATGAGCATAGGCGAAATCATTGTTCATTTTTTCCTATAAGCGTTGGGAAGAATTTTCGTGTATATATATATATATATATATATATGAAGATACTACAAAATGCCTATAGGCACAAATGAACAGTGATTCCACCTACCCTCATCACCGTCCAAAATTCATCGCAAGGTCACGATTGTCCGGTAGTGTTTCATTTTTTATTTTTTTTCAACAAATCAGAATGTTCTGAAATTTGAAACATATGTTCATCAAAAATAGGCGAATCTATGAAAAATGTCAAAAAAATATTTTACATGAAATAAATTGACCAAAATACCCCCAAAAAGTTTCAAGGGCATTTTGATCAATTGTTTTTTGGACATTATTTTTTTATATTTTTATTAAGTGCTCCTCACTTAGATGTACACACGCTCCAGATTTCAGATCATTTCGATTTGTAAAAAAAAATGAAAAATAAAACACTACCGGACAATCGTGACCGCACGATGAACTTTGGACGGTCCATTTCCGCCTATAGGCATTGCGTAGTGTTTTCCATATATATATATATATATATGGTTATTCTAGAATACACCACTAATGGTGAACTTAGAAGTTCCTACTCAAAAATGTTTTACCATATAAGGGAATAAAATGCCCTTATATGTCCAAAAATGACTTTTTAACTGTAACTAGTTCATGAATATTAAGAAGGGTAACTTTTGTCATTTCAAAATTCCTCAAAAAGCCAATTTTCCATTTAAAAGATTCCTTTCACTTTTGAATCCTCATTGAATTTGAGAAGTAATTTAAAATTATAAATATGCCCTTTTCAAAATTTTCAAACAAGCAATTCGTAAATGTAATATTTAGATAAGGCCATTTGGTGGTCAAAAATTTTGGAGTAAGAAATTAAGTTCATCAGAAGAGTGGTGAATTTAGAATAAACCATTTATGTGTATTTGCTTGATTTTTTTTTTGGGGGGGTGGGGGGCAGCGGTTGGGGATTTTTCACTGCGTTCAAGGGAGTAAGAACCCAAAATTTGGGGCAGTGCACAAAAACTAAAGAAATTAGCTCACTTGCGAACCAAATCATCCCAGCCCCCCACCCTCGCAAAACAACAGAGTGAGAGAGAGAGAGAGAGAGAGATGCTGTAACACGAAGGCTTCGATTGAACCAGCACCAATTACGAGAGTATAAGAGAAGAAGGACAAATAATCTGAATCTTGGATCAAACTCATACTTACAAATTAAGTGAGAGAGAGAGAGGAGGGAGGCAGGGGGAAGAGAGAGAGAGAGAGGAGGGAGGGAGGGAGGGAGGCGAGGGGAGAGAGAGAGAGAAGAGAGAGAGAGGGGGGGATGCATCAAAACCCAAGCTTAACAATCCAGAGAGAGAGAGATATAAGGTGAGCTTTAGGGCAAGGAAGAGTACTTGGTTTAGAAGCCGCTCCGCTGCCTGTCCTCCATCTGTTCCCCGCTTTGTAGCCAAAGCATCCACCTGGAACACAAAAGACCACCCCAAACAGCAAATTCAGGAGGCATCAAATAGAATGATCTTCATGGTATTTCAATAATATCACAAATAAACACATTTCACAAAGTCTTTGCAGCCAATCATTTAATATTTTAATTGTGTCAGTGGCATCAGGTCACATTTTAATTGTGTCAGGGGCATCAGGTCTCTGTAAAACCGACAAGAGGGATCTCTGTTTTAACTTTTTCTTGGTAAGAGAGATCTCTATTCCAAGCAGTTAAGCAGCAGTCAATGGAAATTTTGGAGAATGATTAAAGAGAAAGTATAGCATAAACCAATAATGTATGGTATGTGCTACACCAGAGGAGCATCCACACTCACGTGGATCATCTTGACGCACCAAAGATTTCCTCTTGCTTCCCTAAGACTTAGGGGCTAACATAATGAACAAAGGAAAGTAAAAATATAGGAAAGGATGAGCCATTCACCTCATCAAAAAAGAGTATGCATGGAGAGCATGCACGAGCTCGATTAAATAGGATCCGAACTGCCAATTCACTCTCACCTACGTATTTGCTTAATAGCTCAGGACCCTGTGCAAAGATGACAACATCACCCGAGAAAAACTTATCACAAATAAATCCAACCACAAGACATTACAACATTTCATTAATATAGTAGATGACATTGGCCAATTATAACCAAATAGAATTATTATATAGGCCAACAAATTAAAACAAAAAGAAAAAGCAAAAGAACCTTGATATGTATGAAATTTGCTCCTGCTTCATTTGCAACAGCCTTAGCAATCAGAGTTTTACCACATCCCGGTGGTCCATACAACAAAAAACCAGTCTCTAAATTCATTCCAAGCTCCTGAAGCAAAAGGCATAACTCAGAATGGCCTAATAAAAATGTAAGTATCACAAAGGGTCCTAATTGAGCATGTAACCTCTAGAACAGTAACACACCTCATAGTCCTCAGGATTCTTTATTCGATTGACAATATAACGATCAAATTCATTTCTTAAGGAACTCAGACCTCCAACATCTTCCCATCTAACATCAGGTATCGAAGAGAATCCTTCTCTTCTAGTTGAAGGTTGTACCTTCTTTGTTGCTTCCTGGACAAACAAATATCAAGAATTAACTTCTACATAAAAGCTACTAAAAACTTAATTGACCACCAATCATGTTAAATAGGAGATAGGAATGTCTGACCCCAAAAATATCAAAAACATCTGATACAAAACACAAACATGGAATGCATTACGAAAAAGTGTATCGGATCATGTAAACATGGAGGGAACATGAGGCCTCACACCATGTACCGATAAAAAATACCAGATCCCAGATTCCCTTTTCAATTGTCTTGCCTATGCTACAACTCAACAATAGCATAAATTTTGATTTCTCCAACACTATAAATTCACTCCCACCGCAACACTCTCACAGAAATCCATCACACCCTGGAAATGTTGGTGAAAATCAGACCAGATACAACTACTAAAAAAGGGAATAAGAAAAAGATCGACCTGAAGGATCCAACCATTTGCACTGTAAACTGGCCCAACAGGTCAAGTTTTTAAAAACAACAGGTCCACTTCAATAAAGACATTTTAATTTTGAAAAAAAAGCGCTAAAACCAGGTTAACCTGGTTTGACCAGGTTGAATTCGTCAGATCAGTGGGTGAACCAACTAGTACAACAGGCAAATCCGTCATTACACTTCTACGTTTTCTTATTAATTTTCATGTTAAATAAGCTTGGACCAGACGTTAAATAGATTGCACAGGAACAGCCCTTCCAATTTTACTTTTGGTTTCTTTTTTTTTTTTGGTAACATTAGCTGGATGTCTCATATTCCCTTCTCCTTCCCTGACCAAAAGATTGGTTCTTTACCTAAAATTCTTTCATCCCCCCAAATCCCTATTATCATCTTTCAGATGTTATATTATAGCTCATCTTAAAAGACTATAACCAAAAGCTACAAACTTTCTTCCTTTTATCTCACGTTTGCCAATGCCCAGTACCACTCCTACCACACTGGGGTATACCCCATCTCCCTTCTCTATTTATCCACTAACCCAAATCCCACTTCTACTGGATATGATGTCCACTTTAAATATGGTAAAAAGCATGCTAAAGAAATTCAACTAAAGTATAAAGTACAATCATAATGCTCTTAAACAGAGTCCAAATTAGTAAATAAAAATTTAGCATAAAAAATGTGCAGGTAAATGTATCCTTGAAGTTAATTAAAAGAAAGTAGAACAGTGCCACCAACGCTTTTTAATTTATTGTACGAGTATGTGGTCCTCCAAAGCCTCACAAATTTGTTCTCTACATATACACGCAATGTTGTTTAAGCAAAATTAAGTTTTTTAGATAACATCAGAAGACTAAAATCCATTAACATGGTACATACACAAACCTCCAAGTAAAATTACGACAAACAAAAAAGTTCAATATGGAGGAGAGTATCAACGATTGGCTAGTTATGAAGCATAAAAGATGGAGGGCATAAAAAAAAAGAGCTAGTAAACTATTATAGTTTCAGTATCATTGGTAACATGACCTTCAAGAAAACACTAGATATAGTTTTAAAGGAAACAAAATAAGCAAAACTGGAGTGGTCCCCAAGATTACCTCAAAATCGGCCATCGTTATACTGAGCTTTTCCATTTCCTCCGGAGAAAATGGAAATTGAGCTTCTTTATTTCCTCTATCATCCAAAACAGATCGGATCATGGGCATCTTATCAGGTAGAATTCTTGCCATCGCTAGGTTACCTGCTTCATTCTTTAGAGCCTCCAAATCAGCACCTACGTACCCAGGTGTCAATCTAGCTATTTTTTGGAAGTCAAATGAGCCCTCCAGCCTTAAATTTTGAGTAATTAAAGAGAGAATTTCCATTCGAGCATTCTCATCAGGGATCCCCAAAAAAATCTCCCTATCAAATCTACCGGGTCTCCTTAGGGCAGGGTCCACAGCATCAGGTCGATTTGTAGCTCCAATCACAAGAACATTGCCAACTTTGTCTTCTGATTCTTCCAAATCAGAATATTTCTCAACAAAACCAGTTACTTGGTGTGATTGATCCATGCAAGTCAGCAATTGAGTGACAATTCGCCTCTCCATCTCTCTCTGCAAATTCTCTCTTTTGGAACCAATAGCATCTATCTCATCAATAAATATGATTGAGGGAGCAGTTCTGCGTGCCTTTGTGAATAGGTTACGGATATTCTCTTCAGAAGCACCTAAAACCATTTAAAATAAGTAATGAATACAAGCTACAATGTGAAGGGAAGTATACCACAATCCCCTCCCCTTTTTTCTCTCTTTCTCTCTAAAAAGGGAAAATATCATTCAAGGGTCAAAGCCCTTCACAAAATCATTAAAGAGGTCAAAGCATCCCAATTAACATAAAAGGGTTTACTTTTTCATTTTCATTTCACTCAAGTACCTCCTCAAAAAAAATCCTAAAAATTGCCCCAATGGCCCCAATTCGAATTGGGAACTCTGAAAAGGCAGAGGCCTTTCAATAATGGGACCCGCCCAAAACAAGCAGGGGTACTCCCATCATTTAGTAGGGCCTCTTAGGTGGGTCAAACTACTGAAACCCAAGCTTTGTGCAGGGTCTCAACACTAAAAAGGGTAGTTCAAGCATGTTCAAGGATATATTTTTAATGAGGTACCTAAGTGAAATGAAATTAAAAAATAAAAATGTTAATCCAGATGTTTTCACGCCATTAATGATGCTTTAAGGGGTTTTGACCCCCTAAATGCCCATATACAAAACGAAGCATAATTGTCCGAGATCTTAAAAACTCCAAGAGCAAAGAAGCAAAACAAGAAGTGAACAAGGAACCTGAGACGCCAGAAACCACTTCAGTGGCAGAAATCTTGTATAGAGGAACCCCTGTTTCATTAGCAATAGCATGAGCTAGCTTGGTCTTACCACACCCAGGAGGGCCATGCAAAAGGATACCAGCCACTGGCCTCACACCCAACCATGTAAGCAACTGAGGATAGAATAAGGGAACAACCACCTCTGCCAACAATTTATCCAATACTTCTTTCATGCCACCAAGATCCTTAAAGGTGGGACCATCTCTCCTTGAACGAAGGCTACCATTGGTGGGCAATGCACCCCTTGATTGATTTACAGCACCTGCATAATTGTGTTTTTCTTCCATTTCTTTTAATGCACAATCTTCAATACCATCACTATTGACCTTACTCCCTCCACTCTCTATCAACTCCAACTCCAAATTTTTCACAACCGTTGCTTCATTTTCTGAATCCATTGATCCTGATGAAACGACCATTCTTTCCCTTTCTGAACCCATTGAACCCAACGAAACAACCACCGCTTCGCTTATCGAACCCATCGATGCCGATGAAACAAGCATTTTTTCTCTAGCAATAGCAGAGGCATTAGATGCGCCATAATTCGACCTCATCATAGACTTCATCAAATCAGAGGAGGGTTCCATATCATATCCCTCCTCAGAGCTCGAAACTTCGCCGTCTTCTTCATCACTATCCTCTTCTTCTTCATCTGAACCTCCAATTCCTTTCCATTTAGCCGCACTATGATGCAAATGCTTCTTTTCCAAGTGAAGCAAACGCTCTTCTTCACGATCCACCTTCTTGAGTCGCTTGGAAGGAGGCAATCGGTCAAGCCTCGTTTCAATGATTTGGAGAGCTTTTATGACAGACTCTGTAAAGGCCCAAGCTTTTGGCGTTTAAATTTCGGGTTGGTGGAACGAAGGTGATGGACCATTGAATCGACATCACATGGATCATTATTTTTGTTATTGACATAAAGCTCCACATGTGGAAGTAGGTCTTGTACATAGGTCGGTGGATGGCCTCTCGACTTCTTCCCCATCTCTAACACACTATTACCAGTAGACCACTACATGGCATAACAATTGAGAAAGAAAGTTACAATCAACCAAGAGTTGAATAACAAAATTTAATTTTTAATTTCCTCCATATTTCTAAACCATTACCAGTATTAAGAAAATGCTAAAGATGATGTTAAAATTTTTTTTTTTTTGAAACTGTAGACGATGTTAAAAATTAGTCTAAAAAAATCTAGAGACGATGGTAAAACTTAGGACAGTAAAATCTACTAAAAACTAAAGAGCAAGCTCTCTTTTCAGACCATTACTAGTTACAAAGAAAACACTAAAAAAAATGGTAAAGTTAGGATTTTACTAAACTACTAAGCTCGAAGAAGAATTACAGAGCAAATTTACTTTTCAATGGACTGCGCTGAATTTGGCTTGCCCACCCAATGCACTGAAAGTTGAAATGTATACCATAAATGAACCGATGTTTGAGCCCTTATTCATAAGAATCAAATTAGGGTCCCACCATCTATTAACACAAATGCCAAACACATCCCCACTACTAATCCACCAAAAGAAAACTCTAAATAAGATGATGAATTTAGTGTCTAGTCAGAATTACAGGGGGCAAACAAAAACTTGAATCAACTATTGTAAATTATGGTTGCCCCTCAATGGCTGGAAATTTGAACTCATACATAAAAATTACCCAAAATTTAAAACCTTCAAATACAAGAACAACTAGGGTCATATCACAGTTATGTCTAAATTTGGGTCCTAAAATCCATATAACACATTTTCACTTATTACATGCAGATTTCTTTTAGAGTGAAAATTCAACCACTGAAAGGTTGCACAACATTAACAACCAAATCAGTAAAAAGGTTTGTTTTTAATTTTTACTAGAACAAACAAAAAAGTTTTTTATAACAGTCAGGTAACAATTCTCCAGAACATATGAGCTGTAGAATGATTGGGGTTCTTTAAATTTGGGGAAAACCCCAGAATTTTCCACAAACACTCAAAAGAAACATAAACTCTTACATTTATAAAAATTACAGTTTCTTTTTAAGTGAAAAATTATAGTTCAGAAAATTACGTTTAAAAGATTATAGTTTTTAAAGCACATATAGAGAGATTTCATACAACCAGTTGTTGCAAGACCTTTTCCAGCAAAACAAACAATATCCCAACAAATTAATGGACAACTAACAAAACCTTCAAAAATTAAAAAGAACAAAAAAAATATAAATCCACAACTTTCAACCCCAATATTTTGGGCAAGCTTTAAGATTTAGCCTGTTCATGATTCTCGCTGTAGAAAGGCCTGGTAGAGAAAACTATTCAAGTCCATCTGATTATTGTTTCAGTAATCATAACTTTGTAGCTATAATTATTCCAGAATTCAAAAACAGATTCTTAATAATCTGAAACAGGTGATTGCCACTCCCACTATATGTGTGTAGATTAGCAACTTAATGCACATCGTGACAAATCTATTGGTCTAGGAACCACAACTAACGTTCCAAAATCTGAAAATCTAACTACTAGTTGCATGTGCTGAAGGTATTCAATTCACTGAATTTTGCATAATTTTTTCAATATGTTTGATGATATGATGATTCCATTTGAGTAACACTCCGAATCTTTAACCAATGCAGGCCCTTAAAAACCATTGAGCTACAAGGCATTATGATTCTGACAAAGTGCCACCTGTGCCCCCATCTCTTTCAAATGTTCAAGTTAACCCCACCATGAGTCGGGGGTCTCTTGCCAACCCAAGAGACCCCTGACTCTTTGATTGCAATAATAGCCAAGATTAGCACATATCCAAATTGATATGGATCCCAACCACTCATGACCTAGTTGTAGGACCCACCTTTTCCTCATTCCAAGTCATCGACATGGCTCATCAAGCATCTCAAAATACTTAAAAGTCACACATCCTCAACACTTCAGCTCTGGCACATACTCTCCAGGAAAACTCTAGGCACTATCATAGCCAGTTCTCTAAAACACAATCTAATCACCAAACCTATTTCCAAGTCTTGTGTAGACCATGATCACAAGCAAATACCCTAACCGAGCCACAAATAGAACCTCTTAAATCCAGCATGATTCCCAAATACAAGTAAAGAACCCCTTAACCCCAACAATGCACACAGAACCATCATCCAGATAAACACAGAAAAGGTTGAGGGCCATGACTTCAGTTCTAGAAACTGCCAAGCCATAGGACAACCCATAAAGGAAGTAGGAACAAGTTCTTGTGAGTTTTGTCATATCATTAAGGTAGTTCTTCAAGCAAAGACTGTGGTTCCAAGCAAAAAATTTGATTTAGATTCCTATATCTATTTCTGTTCATCAAACATCTGAGACGAATCAAGCCAATAGATAAAGACTTCAAAGAGATAAATGACCAAAATATGCCTGGATATCTACAACGACTAAACAATTAGGCCACATATGGAACCAAAAACAATGAAATATTGAGAAAGTGACCATATGTATCCATCTATTGCATTTGATCACAAAACAGATACATATACACAAAATAGTCACAAGAGTGCAAAGTTACAGCCTACTAAGTTAAGGTGCCTCAAGCTAACATTAGAATCCCAAGGCTCAAAACTGGTCTCCACAATTCCCATCCCCAAATTAGTCTAAGCATCAAATCAGTCTCACATCCATGAAACAGATAATTGATGAGAATCACATAATATAAATGGAAGCACATTCCATGGTTGTGTGGCTTTACACAGGCACCAGCAAGCACACACCCTCCCCCCCCCCCCCCCAAAAAAACTAAATAAATATATAAAATAAAGAATAAAACAACTAGTTAAAATTTTGAAATCCCAGACACTTATCAATCTACATAGCTGCATAGGAGAACTACACAACAGAGCAACCTCTAGTCCAGTTCTTCAATGAATGCCGTAAAACCCAATTTCATCACAAAACTTCTCAATAAGACCAACTGACATTTTATTTACTTAAATAAAAAAACCAATAGTCATCAAGAAGAAAAATCTACAAACACTCTAAAACAATTTACAGCAGCAAGTAGCCAAACAAAATAAGACACCACACCTTACAGAGTACTGCTGGCACAATTTAATCCATGATGCTGGTTACTGTTTTTTATTTTGCTGGTTACTGTTTTTTATATTGCTTTTTGTGTTGGGTCTCGACTTCATCTTCGGTGCCAAATTTTGGATGGATCAAAACTATCATCATCGGTGAGTGAGAGAGAGAAATAGTTTCTACATAGCTAATCACATCAAATTTTCTCAGCTCTACTGACACGTTGAATAAAATCAAATTACAAGGCTTTGCCACCATAATTCAATCCGTGCATCGTTTTGTTTTTTGGGGTTGGGTCCTTGTCTTCGTCTTAGGTGCCCAATTTTGAGAGAGCAGCTTGTATTCAAACCCCACTCTGTAAACCCCACTCTGTTGTTTTACCGTTGAGTATTACATGGGCAAAACATAAATAAAGCCCAATATCCACATTGCATGAAAAACTCCGTATCGACCATAACTAAACCCTACTTTCCCATGAAAATGAGCAAGTTACAATAACATCCAATATAAAATGAAGAAGATCATGAATCACCATGCCATTCAGTTAATATATCTCAATAGAAAACATGCCATTCAGTTAAACTAGAAGATCACAGTCTTCACAGAAGAATAATTTAAAACACGGCAAAATCTTAACAACTTAAATAACACCTGGAATGCAAAAAAAAAAAAAAAATATTTAGATAACACTTGGAATTTGCCCCAGTATAAATCGCCATGAAAAAACAAAGACGGACGCATATCAAACCAGATGTCGCAAGAGAAAGTTCAAACCTACGCAATTTCAGCCCTTTACGAATAGAAAAACCCAGCGGTTTCTACCCGCAAAAATCAAAGAGAATGTTCCCCTCTACTTTGATGGAGGAAACGCGTGTGTCCTCTCTATTCAAACACTGATAAACAAGGTCATGCAAACCAGTTTTGGGGTGTTAGGGCTCCTGAAGAGATCAATAGAGAGAGAGAGGTGAGAGCGAAAAGGGAATCCTTTTGGAAAGGATAATTCACGTTCAGTCGAAATAAAATTTTTCCAGATTCATGACCTAGGGGAAATTATATGGAAAATTATACAAATACACAGGTACTTTTGCTTTTTGTGTAATTAGAACCACTCTTCTCCGTCAAATTTCAAATCTTGTTATTAACTAAACGTTAAAGTTCAAAGTATAGAAAGTTGTGATACACCTAGAGTTACCAAAACTCCGTTTAATAGGAGAATTTTGTTAAAAAAATCGGTGTTTTTATGGAAACATTTTTAAATGGCGACTTTTTTAAAAGATCGGGAAAAATTGAGTAGTTTTTATAAAAACGTTTTGGAAAAAATTTAGTAGTTTTCATAAAAACGTTTGAATGCCGTTTTTTTTAATAATATGTTTTAAATCAGCCCACAAAATCATATCTTTTTTTTTACCTATAATTTTTTTTACCTATAATTTTTTTTAAAAGATTTTTTTATTTTCCTATTTTGTGTATTGCAGCCATTGCTACTTTTATACTTTTGAAAAATAATATATTATTTTAAAAAAAACCTAAAATAGAAATTGCCATTGCTACTTTTATACTTTTGAAAAATAATATATTTTTTAAAAAAAAACCTAAAATAGAAATTTTTATCCCACTGTGTTCTTCAAAGCCATAGCTGCACATTGAATTGTTTTCCCTTTTTTTTAAAAAAAAACTTAAACAAATAGATGCAGATTTCAGTTGCTACTATAGCAAAATCATTGTGTACATGAAATACTATTTATAGCAAACCATTTTGAAAAGTAAATTATTGTGTGAAGAAAATCATATACATGCAGATTTATGTGATTATTTGTGATAATTGTTTTATAAAAATATTGTTTATGGCACAAATTAGAGCTCAAAACATAGTCTTGTGATTATTTGTGATAATTGTTTTTACAAAAATACTGTTTATGGCACAAATTAGAGCTCAAAACATAGTCTTTTACTGGTGAATGAGAAGCAGACAGTGTGACTACAGGACCAAGTAATCATTATTTTGTTTTTTATTATGTGATAACAAAGTTAAACAATATAGTGTAAACCGTAAACTTACAGGAGCAAGCAATTTTTCTAATAGGATTAGGTTTGAGCAAGCCGTTTTACTTATAGAATTAGTTCCTCAAACCTAATCCTTTTGGTCTGCTTGATGTTTTCCCAAAAAAATGGAAAATCCTCTTCCTTTTCTCTCTTTAAAAATCAGTTAGGCCTCCTTTCTCTCAAACAACATCCCAAATCAGAAAAACTACCTTCAAACTATCCCAAATCGTATCCCATCTTTCTTTTCTCTCTCTAAAAAACAATTCATTACGGTTTGTGAAGCCGATGATCTCTTCCTTCTTCCTTCTCTCTGTAAACCTGAATGGCTATGAGGTCAACCCTATTTTCTCCTCCTCTTTTTCTCTCTCTCTAACCCGTAAACAGTAAGATGTGGGGTGTGGTTTCTGTAAGGTTGCAACCTTAGACAATCCAAATAAGATGTACCTCCAAATTTTATAATAATATGTAATTTTAGTGTAAAATATTCTTACAATTATCTCAAAATCTATTTTCATATCTAATTGTAAAATTTTAAACTCCAAAATTTATTTAAATAAAGTAGATCTATAAACATATGAAAATCTTGAAATTGGACAGTCGAGATATTGTGTTGCAAGGTGTACCGTTTATAGGAGTCAAAATATTTTTTTCTTTCATATTCATACATCAAGAAGTTGAGATGATCAATTAGATGGTTTTTCAACATTAAAACAACCTTTTTCAATAGATTTTTTAGGTGCATCTGTAATTCTACAATTTAAGGTTGCAGCCTTATATAAACTTTTTCCCTGAGGTGTAAAACCCAAATTTCTACAAACTTCCTTTCAATTAAAGAAATTTATAAAACTTTAACCATAGTTATGGAGTGACCATGGTCACCATACCATAGTCAAATCACTTTAATGAGAAAACAAAAAACGTGTATTTTTTTTTGTGCCTACTAAGTACATGTGATTTTTAAGTATTTAATGAATAAATTTATCTAATAGTTAAAGTATTTATTGAATAAATTTTGTAGTATATTTGTTTTTGGTATGTAATAAGTTGGTTTGATGTTTCTTAAAGTATTTAATGCGTAGATTTTATGTGATCCATTTTTTTTTGGTATATACTAGTCAATTATGTATTTAATATTGAATGATTGGATGAGAGTCACGAGACATCTAAAATAATTGACTTAAATATATTAGTCTAATAAAGTTTTTAGGAAAAAGTTTATATAGAGCGAAGGCTCTAAACAATCAAATTCGAGCTTACCTCAAAAATTTCACTAGAAGAGGTTGTTTTGATGCCCAAATATCCTCAAATTGATCATCTCGATATCAAGATGCATTGACACGAGAAAAAAATAGATTTCAAGTTTTAAAAATAGTGTATTTTGTAACGTATTTTTGGACCGTTAATTTCTAAGATTTTCAAATTTTCATAGATCTCTCGATTTACACTTCTTTTGAAGCTTTAAACTATATAAATAAAGATGAAAATATATTTTAAGGCTATCAAAAAGATTTCCGGTATTGAAATCATATTTCTAGATACTATTTGAACGTAGGCTCTAATTTGATTGTTTAGAGCCTAGGCTCTATACAAACCGCACACAAGTTTTAATGGATGAGTTAGTTATTGATGGCTTTGACATAATTTTTATTTTTTAAAATTTCAAATTTTCTAATGTTATAAATTTATCATATTTTTTTACTCCGATTTTTTATATTAGTTATATTTTTATATGAAGTTATTATCTCTCTAATAATAATATTGAACTTCTCTCTGCTCTTGCTTTCTAGTTTCTTATCAGGGTTCTTCTTATTGTCTCTGTTTTGTACATTTATAGGAATAAACTGTAAATCTAGAGAGGAATCAATATAATAAAATTCTGAAATTGTGTAAATTGGGTTTGGGATTTCTCATCGATTTCTTTAAAATTTTATATTTCGAGCAATTTTTTACCATTTTCGACTGCTCTATTGAGATCAAGAATATGCAAAAAAATAAAAATAAAAATTTTAAAACATTGAAATAATATTTTTTAGAAAAAAATTATAAACGAATGATTTTTATACTTTCCCAAAATTCAAAATTGAACTTTACAAAGTTCATTTTTGTCTGTTGGTATTTACAAAATTTATTTCTAAACAACAACACACTTCGAAAATCGAATTTAACAACCTTTATATCTCCCCTAAAAGAGAAGTTTTTCAAATTGTCTATTAGTACTTTTATGCATAGACTTGCCTTGATAGTTTAAAGTTTAAACTATTTAGGATTGAGTCATTTGTTATTTGTTATATGAGTGTATTTTTTTTTATCTCCCATGTGTGTAAACATGTTTTAGCAAAAAAATATATATAAATTTAAAAATATAACTACATTAGTTGTAAAGAAATACAATCCAACTGTCACGAAAAATGTAGTATAAAATCCAAAAAGAGGTAATGTTTAAACAATAAAAATTACACCATGTGGCCACAATAGTAGACTAATAAAAATAATGCTTGAATTAATAAACCTCTTCAATCTCCTCCAATAGCCTAATATATATTTTTTAAGGGCTTCTCCTGGCTTTTTTTCGGTTTTTGAAATTGGTTTCCAAATTTGATATTTATTTGAAGTTATGTGAAAATATATTTGGAAGGTTTTTATAGCACATTAAAAGAAAAGGTGGATCACAATTAAAACATGTAATTTCGAAGTCTTACATGCTAAAACCATGCGATTTCAAGCAAATTATTTCACTATTTTATAATACTGAAAGGCATGTGATTGCATGTCCAGAGTCAAAGGCATACAAAATACATGCTATTTAAGGTTGGTCAAAACTTTTTTAATGTAATGAGAAAAAAGACGAATTTAGAATTTATTGCAACGCATTCAAACAGACATGTCTGGCAAATAAAATTATCTTCTTATATTTTAATAAACATCCAAACAGTCTACCAAGATAATAAAATAAAACAATAATGTTTCTCAATTGAAGAGAAAAAAATTTGCATTTTTTTTCAATATGAATATTTTTTCTTTGACATCCAAATTGGGCCTTAGCGATATTTTTAGATGAGGTATTTTTGCTCCGTATTTTTTACCCGATTTTTTCATCGAACTTTTTAAAATAAAAACGATTTGTTTCCGATTTTATGGTGAGCTGATTTATTGATAGTCCCCGACTTGCTAACCATGATTCAACCCAACCCTAATAAACTAAGAGCTAGGACACAAAATGCAGCCAAAGGGATGGGCTTGAACTGGCCACCATGGATTGACACCTTAGCTGGGCCTAGGCCAATGCATTTTCGGGTCGGCTTAGGATGCCACCAGCCCTACTTGTGGACTCAATGATCGGTCAATTTCTAATTATGGTGGGGCAATATAAAGACCAAAATTATGAAGATCATACATCCGGGTTGGTCCAATTGGTCAGACAACCATCTTGTGGGTTGGTCCAATTAGTCAGACAACCATATGATGCGTTGGCTAGTCTAAAAGAAAAATTAGGTTTTAACGAAAACTCGTCAAGACCAATGTTTAAGTAGTTTCCGTTATTCAAACAAACCCGTTTAGAGCAACTGGCTAAAGAAAATTGGGGCATTTTTAATATACTAGAAATTTGTAAGCTATTATTTTGTTTTTCCTTTACTTTTTTTAGAATATGAGCAACCTATTTAATCGATAGTCATACCCGTTTTATACTGAGAAAGCCGCAGATTTCAAGCCCTTTGCTGGGTTTGGACCCCTCGCAAATTCGGTGGTTGGTCCAGTTATGATAACATTGTTAGGGACCTCAAGTTATTGGGTTTGTCTAAGCAAAACTCACTCTATGTAAATTTTAGGCCCTCAAGTTTTTGAGGATGTAATCTCTTTTACCTAGCAACCAACTTCCAAAAAAAAAATGGAATTTCAATCTTTCCATATGTGTTTAAAAAGTTAACATCCTAAGATTTAATAATGACCGGACACTCTTTTTGGACCATATCTCACCATTTTCAAAACTTAAAATAAAAAGTTTATCTAAGATGTCAACCTCATACTATAAAAGGAACACCACAAGAATCCACAAGAAAATGCCGTTTCGATGCTAGAAAATCCTTATTTTGATCATCTCGATATTGAAATGTATGTATATGAAAAGAAAAAGGATTTGTAGTCCTACAAATAGTGCATCATGTAACACATTATCTGAACCGTCTACTTTCAAGATTTTTAAATATTTGTATTTATGTTGGATCTGTATCTCTTTTTGAGGGGTGTGGTTTGCATAAAGTTGAACGCACCTCTAAAATTTTCATAATCATAATTTTGATATAAGAAACTCTTAGGATGACTTGAAAATCTACTTTCATCTCTAATTATAAAATTTTAAACTTTAAAAATGCCTCAAAGCAAGTAGATCTCTAAACACATGAAAACTTGAAAATAAACGGTCCAAATAATATGTTGCAAGATGCACTACTTTGTAGACTCAAAATCTTTTTTTCTTTTCATATTCATTCATCTCGATATCAAGATGATCAATTAGAGGGTTTTCCAACATCCAAACAACCTTTTATGATGGATTTTTGAAGCGCATCTTTGATTCTACATTTTAAGGTTATAACCTTATATAAACTTTTTTTTTTTTTAGCTTCAAATTTCATAATTACAGATAGGAATAGGCTTTCATACCATCTTAGTAGTTTCCAGCATCAAAACCACATCTTCTGGCGGGGTTTGGAGGTTTGTCCTACTTTCATTGCTTAAGGTTGACAACTTATAAATCGTACTCAAACTTAAATCCAGTTATTATTTTCTTTAAATAGTCATGGGGTGATTCTTTGGTGGATCCAAAAGCTTTAGATCATAAAAACACTCATTAGTAAGTTCTTTAGTATGAGGGACCAACATACAATATGCCCCAAAGAAGCATGGTACATGAGAGAGCTTTTGGGTTGATCCAGGCGTACTTAAACAGAATGAGCGTGAGGAGCGGTCCTCCCCCTGCATCAGCGAGTAGATTAGAAATGGATGGGGTTTCTATTAGTCAACCGATCATATGTACATATGAGTCCCTTTATAAAATCTATTTTAAAAAATATATTTTTTATCCAATTTTTTAGGGATCCATGATCTAGGCCAAGGCTATCATGAATATTAAAATAAATAAATAAATAAATAAAATATTAAATATACTTTTTCTAGGAAACTTTTATCCATAAGTATTTTGGTCCAGTATGTTGTGCATACCCAAAAAAAAAGATGTATGTTCGTAAATTAGCAGACTCTCGCGCCCGAGTCACGTAATACTTTTCCATTAGAAAATGAGAGGGAAAAAACAAAGGAAAATAAGAAATGAGAGGGATGAAAGTTAAAGGAATGAGCATTTTTTACTTCTTTATTTTATTTGTATGTGCTTCATAAAATGCCGATCTAAATTGGAATTAGAAATTGGCTGGGCTGATTCCTACCAGGTATCGAGAATTGACTTGGATCAAAGTGACTCGTCTGGTTCTGTAAAAGAATATGACCCGCATGGGTACCGGGTTACTCCATTAGATAGAATCGCCCAATTTTGACCTATTTTATTTTTTATCTATTTTTATGTTTTACAGATTCAAATTTATCATTCGAATTTTCCTGAGACAGTTTCTCACAGCAAAGAATTAGTCAGCTCTCCCCAAATCAGCCACTGAGATAGGTCCAACACAATTCTAGCCACCTAATATTGGTAATATGGGCTTTAAAACACTAGTGTATATACTGGCATGGTGAGCTTGATAGGGTGGTTTGCATTTTAAGAGCATTTGAGTAGATTTAAAACATATTAACAAGCCTTCTAATTTACTCATGACATTAACCAAGGAAGTTAAAAAGTAATTGGCTCAAAGTGTCAATATATTTTTCTATGCAAAAAGTTACCATAGGGATTAGGCTTTGTGATAAAAAGTCTCACCTCATAATTTTTAGACATTGAAAATCCTTTAAATTGATCATCTTGAGACCTCGACAGGATCTAAAAATTATAGATAATGAGCTCTAAAAATAGTGTGTTGCATCACATTATCTAGACCACCCATTTTCAAGCTGTCATAATTTTGTCTGAACTACACTATTTTGGAAGCTTCAATTTCATAATCAGGAAGGAACATCATAAGGGTTTCATGAACCAAAGCTGCATTTTCTAGTGAGGTTTTAAAATGCATCTTTACCTTGGTAAAACTTAGGTCTTATGAGAATGGCCTGGGGCTCTGGCGAAAGTATTTTCAATCCCTATGATGAAGTCTCTGACTCCATTCTCATCAAAAGGTAGAGGCTCAAATCCCCACTTACTTATCACTTTTTGTAGAAAAAGAGCTTGAGCTTAATTGGCTAGCGCTTGAAGATTTACAACGCTACGTCCTAAACTCAATTCCTACCAAGGGTAGGGGCCTCTCCCCATTGACTCACCCAAAAACTTACCCAAAAAAAAACATAGGTCTTACCGTATTGGTAACCCTCCTTAGGTGAGCATATCGGCTTCCATGTTGGTTTCTCTCCATTGTAACAAATAGATCCTCATCCCTGGATGCAGTAGACACTTACGATGAAAGTTTCTCCAAGGTCATATAGATCACAGTAAACTTTCATGGACTGAACATGGAATGGGTTAGGGATCCCTGGGACAAGCATAAAAAACATTTTCCACAAATAAAAAGGTTAAAAACTATCGAAAGCCAGATTCCGTTGCCAAGAACATTAACCACACCATAAGGGAGATCAATTTCTGAGAAAGATTACATGCCCCACTAAATCAAGCAACTCTCACAAGTAAAACAGATAATTAAAACATTACATTTGTTTAAGAAATGCTACACATAAGCAACACTGATTTGGCGACGCATGAGCAACACTCGCTCGGCAACAGCCTGGAAGGGATATATAACAACAAAATGGAGGCCGATGGCCTGGACTCAGCACTCCATTAGCGCAGCATCAATGTCAGATAATGGAGCTGCAAAGACATGAAAAAAAGGGGTTGGTTTTACTTAACATTATTAAGATGGGCCAAAACAAAAGCTCATATACAAAGGAGAGTTTTTCGCTTCTTGCAAATCAATCAGTAAAGACTGCATTGTGTGAGACTATGTACCCAACTGATAGGCTTCATACAGAAAATCTTAACCATATGATCCCAAGGTGGCTGGTTATAGATCATAGTGACTAGCTACATTGGCAACCTGATGAAGGTATAACATTTGTAGTTGTGTTTTTTATGTTGTTAACTGAACATTTGTAGCTGTTCATGTTGAAAATGAACAATTCAAGGTTTTATTTTTAAGACGTTTTAGTTTTTAAGGGATTCTAAAGTTTTCATTTTGTTGTTTACTTCAGAAATACTATTCACAAATACTACTTACGAGTATTGTTCACAAAGATAAAACTGCCACTATAAAATTTAAGTTTAAGTTAGGATATATAAGCCATTTTAATCATTATAAATGTCTTTGAACATTGAATTATAATATATAAGAGGTGTGTGAGCCTTGAGAGGGTTAATTCCACATAATTTATAGAAATTGAAAGAGAGAAAAGTTTAAGCTTTTAGAACCCTAGCTTAGGGTATGGAGAACAAACCCTAGGTTTCTTTGAAATATGTTTGTTTTTTACTTGTTTCTTGCTGATTTTACTATTCCCTCAAATTCTCCTACATCAAATTGATATATGGGTGAGATTCTACACTGAAAGTACTGTAGCAGTATACAAAGTTACTGTTGTAGAATCAATTTTTTGATGTCCTAGATCAACAACAAAGTGGGGGAGTTACAGTGGTGGTCTAGGGTTTGTTGATTTTGGTCAAAGTTTTGCCAAAACAACCTAGATCTTGATCATTTTAGCAATTTTTATTGATTATTTGCCTAGGGTTTGTGATTTCTGCGAACCCATGGCAGCAAAAAGTGGCCGTAGAATGGGGACTTTTGTAGATTCTCTTTGCAGTCCCATGGATAATAGAATTGAGGAACTTGAAAGGCAAGTTCAGTAGCTGATGCAGCAATTCACAAGAGGCTAAAAAATGGGCAAGACGGTAATCTTTTAGCCCAAGAGGAGCCTTTTCACTTTTGTGATCCGCGTGGGGAGTCAAATGTTGATAGCGATAGAAAACCTAGATGTAGGGAACATTACTCTAGGGTTTTCGATTTGAAGCATGAGATTATTGATTTTGACACAGATTGCATCGAAAATAAGCAAGTTGTTGATTGGAATTCACCTCCAATCTTCGATATATAGTCAGCTGACAACAAGATCTCTAAGGAGATCCGATCTATGATAAGGATCAAGATGATGATAAAGTTATTTTGGAAGAGGGTGAAGAATATGGAGAGAAGGTAGCAGAAGGACTAATCCAATTCATGGCCTTTGAAACTCTCATTACTATTGAAGAGTTAAAGAATTCAAGAAATTTGAGGCATTGGAATCATAATAGTGTAATAAAAGCATGGTCGATTCTTAATATGAAATACATGTTAAGAAAACCTCTAAACACCAGAAAATTGGGTTTGTAGTTTCCTACATGATTTTTAATAGGAGTTAAAGGATAGTCATATTTGATAAATTTGCATTGATTCTTCAATATACATATCAAGATCTATTTCTTGAGGAATTATCTTTACCACGAATAATATTTGAGCCAACAAAGAAAAAGAAGGTTGAAGAAGGTGTTTTTTATGCTGACTTCGTCTTAACACACTTCAAAACTCGATGATGCATTTTCTCCAACAAAGGGAGAATGATGAAGGGCAAAATAGTATTTATTTTTAATTTCTATTCAATTTTAAAGGACGTATATTTTGATTGTATTTTTTAAATTTTTTGGTTTTTTAGGGATTCTAGGGTTTTTACTTTTCTTATTAACTTCACAAAAACTATTCACAACTACTATTCATGGGTATTGTTCACAGTGGTAAAACTGTCGTTACAAAATTTAATTTTAAGTTAGGATACATGGGCTACTTTAATCATTATATGGACATGTAACGTCTTTGAACATTGAATTATAATACATAAGAGGTGTGTGAGGCCTTGAGATGGTCAATTCCGCCTGATTTTTAGAAATTGAAAGACAAAAAGGTTAGGCTTTTGGAACCCTAGTTTAGGGTAAGGAGAAGAAACCCTAGATTTCTTTAAATTATGCTTGTGTTTGGCTCGTTTTTACTATTCCCTCAATTTTTCCTGCATCACGATACCAAATACCCCACACACAGTGTGGATATGTGATACACAGGATCATAATGGGTTCTTTCTTAAACACTATCTACGCTTATTACGCAATACATCATTTAATTCTACAAAGCTAGTGGCAGAAATCAATTTCTAGAATTTATTGGGCTAGGTGATTTTTGGGGATTTCCAAAGTATTAGCTTTTCAGAAAATTCAGAATGAAAAATTTACAATGATAGTAAAGACACAATTATGCATGTAATAAGTTGTTTTCTATGTTTTTAGTAACATTTCCTCAATACACAAATTTTGTGTGTGCGCGCATGTGCGTGTGTTTTTATGGAAAATTATGAGACCTCTGCAAATGGTGCTACTGCTTCTGCAGTTTACAAGAAATGTAAATATTTGTAATTTGTACAGCAAAAACAAAAGATCAAGATACCACTTCTCAAAAAAAACAAAAAAGACCAAATGCTAAACATCACATACCTAGTAAGTCCTCGAAAGCATCTGGCAAGAAGGATGTATCAGTCAGCAGAGGAGGCGAGAAGGGAACATCATTATCCTCCAGAAAAGTTGGGTTTTTCCTAAAATCCATCTCAAGGTCAAGAGAATTCTTCTTAAGAAAGGAAGTATCCTCTGGAGACTCAAACAATTTTTGTTTGCTTCTGTTTCTCACTGCTATATGCTCTAGACCTCCATGAGAAAATCCATTCCCTGTTAGAGGCACAAAATAGTGCTCTGTGCTATCATCTTTGCTAGTACCTTGCAAAGTTTCCATTTTTTCGGGTAGCTTGGGGAGAGCAGCTTCACGAACTGATCTCCTTATGGACACAATATATGAATCATCATTCTCTGCAAGAGCAGCAGATAAAATAGTAATTTGCAACTGTTTCTAATTCCAATAACACAAAGCAAATCTTTTTCCCTCAAGGTTGTATGTCATAACTTCTTATGAGAAACTAGAAAGCCATGTCAGACCATAAAGTGGACCCCAGTGATTTTTGTTTCTTATATTAAGCAGAACCCAATTGATTGATGTTTATAACAAGTAAAATCCAAGTGACTTTATTTAAAGGAAGCAAAAACCAAGTTATTTTTATCAAAAAGACTGCATTCTCTTCAAGAGCAGCAGTTAAAATAGTAATTTGCAAATGTTTCTAATTCCAATAACACAAAGCAAATCCTATTCCCTCAAGGTTGTATGTCTTAACTTGATATGTGAAACTAGAAAGCCATGTCAGACCATGAAGTGGACCCCAGTGATTTTTGTTTCTTATATTAAGTAGAACCCAATTGATTGATGTTTATAACAAGTAAAATCCAAGTGACTTTATTTACAATGAGCAAAAACCAAGTTATTTTCATAAAAAAGAGCAAACCAAGTGAGTTGCTCTATGACAAGCAGAAGCCGTGTGATTCTTTACATGCGTATGAAATAAGAAGAACCAAAGTGATGCATGGTTGACAACAACAACCTGACAGACAGAAAAACAGAAAATGGTTCTGATCTCGCAAATTTCTCATAAATTCTAGGTGCAAACCTTGGATGGAATTGTCAGCAAAGTTATCTGGCAAAGTCTGGTCAATTGTACTACACTCTGGTAGAGCTTCTAGCTTGTTTATTTGAGGAGCCATGGCATTCCGCTTCTGTGTTATTCCACTTTTTCCAAACGAATTAGGAGTTGAACTGAAAAGATGGGGGAGTTTCAAAGCAGGACTGGGAGGAACCAGCTCAAGCTGAGTAGAAAACTTCGAGTTCGTTTCAAAATCTTCATCAATGCTTTCCTCCTGTGAAGAAGTTCTACAAGATGAATAAAATGGAAATACCACTTAACTTGAAACTACAGCTCCTTCTACAATACACTTACTTGAAAATCAGCTCAAGTCACATAATTGGAATGAGAGGGTGGATGCACCAGGGTACCAACCGCATTTGTTTTGTCCTATATCTTACTTTTACTTAAAAATTAGATAATTAAAAAATAAAACTTAAGAATTCTCTTGATCCATATGAGAGAAAACCTCCTCTATCTACTTCACAAAAAAAAAACTTCCTCTATCAGGGTTCTACTTTGTAATGGAGATTTCTACTTTTGTAAAGAGAAAAAAAAAAACAGAAGAAATCTTCAGCTATTATTAAATTTAAACATAATGTAGGGACTTTATTACTCGCTGATAGATTGGCACATATACATCATAGATTTCACTGAGGTAAACCTAATCTGTTTTCACCCCCCCCCCCCCATCCTCTTCTCTGTAATGCGCACGTGTGTGCACACAAACACACAAACTCTGAGTATAAACTAATTTCTATGTTAACTAATGCCCACCAATACTCTGTGTGTGTGTCTCAAAATATCTGACTCAAGTTACAGACTCACAAACACATAAGAGAGTCAAGTTGCATAAAGAGACTGCATAGAGCCCTCACCACAGCCCTTCCATTGCTTTGGGAAGAGACAAAAGGCATGGATCTGCTCCCGTACATGGTGGCAGGGGCAGTGGACGAAATACTGTTTACTTCTTCCCTCAGCTCTGATACTGATTCCTTCATTGCTGGGATAACCTCCTTCAGTTGATTAATAAGGACCTACAAGCTCAAGTGAAATGGACACCATTACCGATCCAAATTGTTGTAAGCCTACATTAACATCTGTATATATACACAGAAAAGGGCAAGATACCCCTGATTAACCAATCAGGGGTACATTCAAAGGCAATTAATATTTTCTTTCAAATGGCGTTTTTAAAAGAAAAATAATTTGTATTTCAAATGCATCTTCAATATATGCTTCTCATTGCTTTTCCAAAAAAAAAGTAATGAAAAGGAAAGGAAAAGGTAGGCATGCACTAATTTGAGCAAGCAATAAACACAGATAAGCTATTTTAATGAAAAAAAAATTGCTTTGAAAATTTTATGATCTGTACAAAATGTGGGCAAGCTCAGGTTGACGAATATGTGTAGCATGAACTTGGAATACAGTAATATTACACGTAATAAAACTCAAGAATATTGAAGTAATATGCATACTTTAGTATGTCTACCTGTATACTTGCCAAGTGCTGGCGATGTTCAGCAAGAGTTATTTCCAAAGATTCAGCATGACCATTATTGCTGCCATCGGCTGAACACCTCAAGAGCTCTGGTCCTTCTCCATCATTAGCCTTGGCCTGTGTTTCCACAATAACTCACAAGGAGTTATTTCCAGATTCATAATTAAACATCATTCCAGTAACAATTTGAAATTGGAAAAAAGAAAAAGTTTACTTGTGTAACATTTCCACACCACAGTTACTTGGATGGGCAGTCTAAAACAGAGAAGATTACTTACCATTACCATTTGGAGAAAAGCCAGAATGCATAAAGAAAAGCAGTAGAACTTTTTCCTTATTTGAAAGCAACTAAAATTAGCCTTCCCAAGAATTAATTATCATTCCCTTTTTTTTCCCCATCATCAGTCTCTGATTCCATCTGTTAAAAAATATGTGCCAGTAAAGCTTCCGAACCCAGACCCAAAGAATCAGGGTTGGGCTTGGTTAGATGATAATGAGTGCAATATTATGTCCCACTATTGATTCCTACAGCTGATCTGCCCATGAAAATACCTCACGCTCAACCCCTTCTGACATACACTTCACACCACATGATCGAATTGCAATAAAATAAAAAATGTGGTACATAGGCTTTTCAATTTTCCTTTAAATGCAAACTCTGTTTGTAAACGTGAATTTGGGGATTTTAAAATGTTCAAAAGTCAATACTCTCTCTTTAAATAACAACCATAACAATGGAACGCTCCAAAGCATCCCACTTGACAAAACCTTCATACACAGAAAAGAACCCCCAACTCTAGACAAATCCCAATAGCAAAACCAAAATCTCCCACAGTTACAAACTAGATTCAAATTTTGTAATAGTCCTCTACAACCCCCCAACACCCCAACCCCGCCCCCTCTCTTTTTTTTCCTTCATATACATCAACTGCACTATGTCCTCTACATTGCATCATAAATGGCCTCTTGAAGAAGCTACACACACTCTTTGTTAAATTATGATGGTTTGGGCCAACCAATCTTTACTTTGGTTTGCATTTGAGTTATTCCACAAACTGCATTACTATTGGTTCCTCCCACACACCTATAAAAACCCACAATTGAGTCCCACATATAACTGTCAAGGAAAAATTTATCGATTCCACTAGGGCCACAAGTGGACCCAAGCTAATCAGATATAGCTCTTTTTAACCAACCTCTCCTCCTCGATTGACCATCACATGTACGCATACTAGCAAATCAAGGTTATCAAATGTGGATGCGTACTCAATGCTCTAGGGGTCTGAAGTGCTGTGCACCTCAATGCGGCAGTGATGCAAGCGCATTACTTTCAATGCAGTCAGTAAAATAAATAAAAAAAGTATAAAAATACAAAGAGTAAAATGAATATGTGATAGTAGGCATTCTAATTTAGTATTTGACTATAACATAGACAATATATGGACCAATCAATGAAATGTTGATTAATACGTAATTACTACTTGAAAACGGTTCTTCAGTTCAGAAACGAAATGTTCCAAATGTGTAACATAGACAATATATTTGAGTCGCTGATAAAGAGTAACATAGACATTATGTCTCTATTCTATAATACAATTAACAGTAAAATAAATTGATCCAACCCATGCATTAAAATTAAAGAACACACAAAAGAATATGTATTGCAAAGCAAAGCACCAGAAAAAAGTAAATTAGCATCTAGCACTAAGTATGTCGTAGCATATAGCCAAATAAACACTAAAGAGTTTAAAGAACTTCACAAGCACATAGCGTCCAAAGGCCAAAAGTTCATCATCATCATCAAAGCCTCATCCCAATTATTTGGGGTCGGCAAAAGGTCATGACATGAAAAATCAAAATGATACTATATCGAAACAATTGATTTCAGTTTCAAAATCAAGTCCAAATCAGGAAAAATAATTGATTTTTGAGTTTATAATCGTTGCTTCTTGACATCCTCAACAAATCTTTGCCCAAAGTCTTAAGAAAATACCATAAAATCAACTCGAAGTTTAACCAAATAATCCACCAAGTTTGTCAAATACTTCAAACACGAAAAATAAATTCAATTTTTGCTTTTTAGTTTAATCCCTTAGAACCAATTCAAATATTGGTTCTAAAAGGGGCTTTGGGGGGTTATAAACCCCCTCAGGATTATAGTTTCGCCCTACTCATGGGCATTATTTCCACCCATGAGCAGACTGAATATGTAGGCGATGTGTCGACTATGTGAGGGCATCTATCTAGCCTGCATAGGGCCGCACCCTTTGATGAGGCCATGTATGAGTTACATGCCCGCATCTGATTACTATGTGGAAAATACACAATAAATGGGAACATTGGCAAGATATATCCAAAAATCTAGTAACTAGGAAACTAATGAATACATCCTAAAGTACTTGACTGATAAGAAAATGTCGCAAACTAGGGAGAGAAACTGAGTCACGGCATCCCACATATAGATCTTCAAATGTGTAATGCCACTAGGTACTTTGGTTTTTTTGATAATTAATGCCACTTAGTGCAATAACATGAATATTAAATGAACATAAACGTTAACTATCCATATAATTTTCCTTTAAAAAAAAAAACTACTTCCATAAAACCCAAATGCCTCGTAATTCCTATCTTTCATAAAGTCAACCCAGACATAGATCCTAAACATGCAATATGTCTGCCAATGCCTTGAAGATTCAAAAATAGAAAATCCCCCATCACCTGATAATAAAGTCATCATCAAAGCCTTTTCCCAACTAATTGGGGTTGGCTACGCCTGATAATAAAGTAATATAATCAAAACACCACCGATAGAAACATTTAGTTCAGACTTTGGAGCATAAAATCAGTTCATGGTATCACAAAAATACACAAAAGTTTCTTCAAAATTTTGATTCCTGATGTTTCAAGGAGTCAGCTGCACAAAATCAATATAAATATCCCAAGTTGACTGCCCATAATTGTGTGGGACCTACCCAAGTTGATCACCCATAATTGTGCTGGAGTACCTACAATCCATCAACCCAGAATTTAAATTTATGAAGCAAAGGCCACCAAGAATTCCAAAGCAGTCCTGAATTTCTAAGTCCTTAGCCAAAATATATCACTCTCTCGCTGCAAAGTTCCAATTCTACAAGCTCCTGCATAAAAGAATCATTCCAACCGCTAATTTTTGGTTTCTCGATTTCACAATTTATTCTAGCACAGGAATTGCACACTAGAAGAAGTAATAAAGCTAACCATGACTGAATTCGCACACTACAAAATGTTATAGAACGCTTCGGGGCTTTACAATTCAATAGTACTATATTATTTACTAGAAGCAATTCTGCACAAACGAGCTCAATTTTGAAATTGAGAAGGGCATTTAGAGAAAGCAGTGATAATAATGTGTGCCAGGGAGTTGCGAATGGGGTTGGGGCCTGGGTGATTAGGAGGGCAGGAGCCTAAACATAACGTCCCACCCTCCATCCCCACTGTCAACTTGCCAAAAATAAATAAATAATATGTGTCCCGCAACCATTGGGCAAGACAAAAGCATAGTATGAAAGATTATAATAGCTAAAGAGTTTAAACTACCAGATGAAGCGACTGTTTATGAATTCGTTGTAAAGCATGTGTCCAACGCCTGAGAATCTCTGCCACATCAACAGTAGGATGAACTCTCCCACTTCTATCATCAACCCTAGGAAAGGTTTCATCATTCACTTGGAGAGTTGGCTCCAAGTTTTGTCTCGGTTTATCCCTATTTGAATTTGATGATGACTCATCTAGCTGCTCTGTACTACTTGAATGACCCAGACTGAGATCACCAAGTTGAGCAGATAGAGCATCAGCATGAGGCACATGGGAACTTTGATCCATAGCCACAAGTAATGATGTCCCAGAAATTCGGTACCTGAGTAAATAAGAACCAACATAAAATTTAGCACCTTAATATTTTCCTACGAAACTTAGAATGAAAATGGAGATTTACCTATGCTCGCGGTGTGCTATCAAGTCCTCAATGGGGCCAGAAGCAAGAACTTCATGTTGACCTGTTAAGTGAAATGCAATAAGAGACAATCCTTAAAACAAAGGCCTAGGGACTCTACCTCAAGCAGACAGAAAACAGTACAATTATGGGGTAGTCTCTGAAGAAAAACAACAAGCTTTAATGAGTTCCATACCAAATAAACTACTACCCTTCCACAAATTTCAAAGGAGCTATGTTCCAGTATCACACAAGAATACGAAAGAGAATAGGATTTTAACAGTAACATACTTAACTTGGCAGATGCCACAAAAAGGTATTTCAAAAAGAAAAAACTATCATAACCCCCGTATCTAAATATCCTACCCTGAAAAGGAGGGAATGCAGGTGAGCAGCTCTTCCCTCTCTGCATTTAGTGGGAATCAAGGAGTGGCCCCCACCTGCATGCCGCCTCTCTTTCTCTCTCTAAGCCCACTCTTCCTTCTAGGAGAGGTACAAAGGACCAGAGCAGCACATCAGTGTTATGATTAAAAGATAATTTTGGTTTTAGTAGCATAACTGAAGAAATGGATTTCTTGCAAGGAGAATTGCATTTTATTATATGAATCCAGGGATGAGCCTAGTTGCGTCTCCAAAAAAGTCAAAGTATCCTTTATTGTCATCAGTGCCTTAAATATTGCCAATTCCAAATCCGACAAGAGCGAGTTATCCGGAGGCCATTGGCCAATATGGGCCAGGGTTGACGGCCCCACCCTTTATGAGCTTAGGGAACCATTACTAAAACAGGAGGCACAACTCTCAAAGGAATACCTGAAGACCGATAGGGATGTGTAGTACAATATGAGGTCTCAATCATGCCAGATTCATGGAGTGATAAGAGGAGCAAGAGCGTAATTAATTTGATAATGACTTGTCCCTTAAGGATAATGTTTCTCAGGTCCATTAATGCTTCTAGTTATGTTCATGATCCACAGTATATCTTTTCTTTGGGTGACAAGGGTATTGCAGAGGTCGGGGAGGAGCATTCCACACAGGCTATACCAGACATGGTTGTAACGCTATAACAGACATGGTTGCAGCCAGTATGTCTATTGCTAATTTGTTACGTCAAAATTGACCTCCTATTTTTTGGACATCATTTGTGGTACACCACATAGACTTGATGCTTGCAGCTATTAGTGAAATGCTGAGAGTAAAGAGGAAACTTGGTAAAGCTTAAACCATGATTGTGTTCAATTATAACACACCCTTACCCTTAGCATGATGTGAAAGTTCACTGATAAGAGAGATAATGAGGCCCGGGGTCACAATATTTGCCACTTTCCTGACTCTACAAAGCATATGATTAAGAGAAACCAATTACGATCTATGTTTTCTTCATATGGTTAATCTAGATGCAAGTGATCCAAGTACTATGAATGGAAGAGGGAAGGTGACATTGTTTTGTCTAAGCATTTCTGGAGTGGACTTATTCTTACCCTTGGTCAAAGTACTGCATTTGGTTGAGGTGAAGCACACTATGGGCTTTATATATGATGCTGCAGAAGAAGCCGAGAATGAGATAGCTGAGGCCCTGGGGAATGATGATAGCATGTAGGCTTAATATGAAAGATTGTAGACAAAAGAGGGATAAGCAGCTCTATCATCTCTTGAATGCAGTTGGTTATTATTTGAACACAAAACTCTTTTATGCAGACTTAGATATTGAGAGGAAGGATACAATTATAAATTAGGTTTTAAAGAATTTACCTGAGAGGTTCATTCCTGAAAAAGTGAAAAGGATATCGAGGATAAGATATATCCTGAGGAGTTGACCTTATACAAGTGTCAAGTGTGCAAGGTTTTAAAAAATTCTAGGCAGTGCCTAGGCGCCCGTGGGGATACTAGGCGACCCAGCTCCTAGGCAGGCACCTAGGAGGCCGCCCAATACCTTATGCGCCCCGAAGTGTCAAGTATACACAAATGCATATATATGCTGTCAATATGGAGACACATGCGGACATATGTGCCATATATGTATATTTATGCATTTGTATATATTGTAACTAACTCTTTTATGAAAATCTATGCCCATGAATTGAAACACATTCAAACTATTGAAAAATGATTCACTTGGACCCCAAAAGCCTTCTATTAACCCCACTTAGAACCTAAAAATGATTCCAATAAGACATGATAAGGATTCGGTTGATTCTACAAACTTTTCAAAATTTCTTAATTTGAAAAATAATTACCGAAAAAATCAATTGATTTCAGAAGTTTCTAGGGTAGAGGAAGACTTTTTTTCACTTTGGAGGTGGGTTGGGCTAGAATTCCCCAAGGTCCCTTTCTTCATGGGTCAAAATGACCCAAAATGACCACCAAAAAGAGACCCTTTCTGCCATTTTTATGGCGGTTCTCCGGCCTTCTACACAGAAAGGCCTACCCAAGCCTATGTCAGGCAGCCTATGGCCTCTCAGGTGCCTGGGAAGCTTCCTAGGCCCTAGGCGGCTGATTTTTGAAACATTGCAAGTGTGCATTAAGATCGTTTGGGAAGGAAATGGTTGTAAGACAACGAACTACATCTGATCCAGGTAATGCATCTAATTTCTTTCAAAGTTCATAGTTTCATGTGCCACATGGTGTACTTGGGCGTGTCAGACCCCTTTCCTTAGTGTCATATGTGTTAAGTGGGGCATTTGCTTTCCCTTGGCAACATTTGTTCCAAGTCATAAGTGGACTTATACTAATTTTACAGAGTTAGCTATCTCACCTGAGAAGCCAATTCTTTAGACTGACAAACCTATATGAGGAAAGTAAATTTCCCTCAATCTTGACCAAGTAACAGGCAAGGCTGATTTGGAATTAGTGTAAGCTTCACACACATATGGGAAAGTGACTAAATACCATTGGTGCAATACCTTAAGCAAGATGGTGTAGGCAGATGACGTTGGCCAACTCAAGTAGAGGCTTGGTTAGCTAGACCACAAGTAGCTTGGCCTGGCAAAACATAAGTATAACGATGTGCAAGAGTGAGTTGATGGGAAGATATGTAGACCATAATAGTCATGCATGCATTCGAATTTGACTTGTGTAACTTCCCCAGGCATGGGCTTGTGTAATGGTCATAGGCATGTGAGAGTGAATTATTGCACTTGTAGAGGACTGAAAGTGCAATGAGTCATTCTAACGGCCCATGCAAGTTTGAAATGGCAAGCAAGGTCATTTCTAACCAGTGGAGTGAGCGACCAAGACTTGTAGCCCCCCCTCAAAATGAGCCATGTGGGCATGCATTGAAGGTATGGGTTGCGGGCTAGTGTAACTCTCACACCAGAGTGGTGGGTGTGAATGTGGTGCACGCCTTAATAGTTATTGTAATAATGGGTGAGTGTGGGGACAATATAAGTCCCTTGCATGGACCTTGAGAGAGATCCATAGCTATATACCAATACAAGTGTATAATGAAATAAGATCAGGACCATCAAGCCACAGGCCTTTGTCTATTACTTCTGTGCGTGACCCACACAAGCAGCACAAGTCCACTCAGGATTTGGAACAAATGCTGTTAAGGGGAATCGAAAGCACCACTTAACCCACGCACACAACGCTAAGGAAGGGGGTCTAACAAGCCTCCCCCATTTCAACACCAATGTCCTCGTCAAACACTTGTCCTACACATGGTTTCCATAACCATAATTTTCGCCCTGGACAAAGCCTCTTGCTCAGTCCTTCTCGCACTTGATCAGGTCTGATGCTGCCTCCCAGTCTATTCACGCCCTTGGCCAAGTCCACTACTAAGACCAAGTCTCTATTTATGCACACACTGCAGGTCCTCAAGATGCCACCATGTATTCATGTGGGTTCGTGGTCAAGTTTGTCGCTGCCACCACGACCAACAACGCATACGACCTCTTGATGCCCTCAACAAGAAGGGCTCACATCATCCTTACCATAGGTCAAGTGATACGTGCGATGCTCATGTCAATTAACAAATTGCCTCTTCTTTGCCCCAATTGAGCTAGGTGGATGCCCCCACGCCTCGCATCATTATTAGTCGAAGATGCCACATCTGTTGTGGAGCAAGAGGACTCTGACCATTGCCACCCCTTCTCCACTGACGGTCTCCTCATGATGACCCACCTAAATCTCATTTGACTCATTTAGGTCAGTCACCTAGGTAACTGCATTGAAGGGCTGTTTTTTCAGACAGTCCCTTGCCTGGTAGTCACCGTTGCAAATGAAACAGTCTAAGAAGGCCTTTCGAGGTGTCTCTCTATCTTAGGTCGGCCCAGTCTCAAATCTAGTCCAATTGAGGTGCATCATTATGTTGCCATTGGACCTCAAATGCCCATCCTTGTGGGTTGACTCCATTGCACCTTGAAGATCATAGTCAGTCAAGCCCTCAGCTGTCACCATAGTAGTGGGCAATTCTTGAACACCAAGCCACGACAACTTGGTATGTGCCCAACCATGCAGCCCAAACACAAAGTCAAACAACATGTCCTCCTCAGACATGGTTTCTGTATCCAGCATGAGGGATGTGAACCTCTTCATGTAATCCCTTATTGAAAGCTTTCGCAAAGCCTCACAAGCCACCTAGGTTGCATTGCCTGCCAGGAATTGATCTTTCATACCTTGTTCCAATGCCTCCCACATGCTCACCTTGGGCATTTAAGGGTCCTTGGCCACCAGAGTTTTGCATCTTCAATAAGGTACATAGTGCAAATGCCAATATGATCCTCCTCATGGGAGTGGGAATTCTCAAAGTACTACCTATCACATAAGAGTTCTCCAACACTTTGGAGTCCCTCTGGTCTTCAAACACCCTTGGCTCCAGCATCCTCACACTTTGAGAATCCAACCCGCCTGTGGTGCTGCTCAGGCCCTTTTGACAGCTGCACATTTTCTTGACAGCTCAAGAGGTTGCCCTTAAAGGATCCATGAAGGCTTTAACGTCGTCCAATAGCCCTTCCTTACAAACATCATAGGCAACACATCAGTCCTCCACTTTGGCCTCCAAAGCACTGATCCAAGACTCCAAGGTGGTGAGTATCTGGCCCAACGCACCATTCTACACCCCTTGGTTCATGATACACTCGATCTGCTCCTCTAGGTGGTTGACATGGTCCCGGATTTCAGCAGCACCGCCAATCATGGTTCCTAATTCTAACGTCAGTGCCAACCTAAATCCTAGTTAATATGTGTAGCGCCAAGCCTAAATCGTACACTACCTAAGGCTAGGTAGCCCAGACTAGCCTTCCACAAGCCACACAAGAGAGTCAAGCACATTCACAAGGGTACACAAAGATACGCAATAGAGAAAGGTTCATCACCTACTCTTATTTCACTACACACTTGCAAAAGAATAGATTCATGAATCTACCTTCCAAGGGTTTAGGCATGGGTTTATATAGCCCCACACGCTTACCCACTATTATAATGGCCATTAAAGCTTGCACCACATTCACTACCTATCACTGTGTTGTAATAGTTACATTAACCCACTCCCCACAACTTCAATGCAAGTCCATATGGCTCATTAAAGGAGGGGGACAAGCCCGAGTCAACCCACTCCGTAGGTCATAAATGACCATGCATGCCAATTCAAACTTGCATGATCCATTACAATGACTCATTACACTCCAAGTTTAGTACAAGTGTATACACCCACTCTCACATGGCATATGGCCATTACAAAAGCACATGCTTAGGGCAGTTACACAGTTCAAACTCAAATCCACGCATGACCATAACTGTCTATACACCTGCCCATCCAAGTGCATGATCAGCTTGCCTCTTGCACATCAGCACATGGTTCATACCCATGTCCCGTCAGGCCAAGCTACCCATAGTCCAGCCAACTAAGCCTCTATTTGCATTAGCCTTAGTCATCCGTCAACATCATCTTACTTAAGGTCTCACACCAAGAAACTTTAGCTACTAGCTCACATATGTGTGTGCCTAACACCAATGCCGTACCAGCCTCCGCCTCTCGCTCAGTCAATATTGAGGGGACTTAACCTCCTCTTATAGTCTTATAGGTTTGTCGGTATAAAGAAATGGCTTGCCAAGTGAGATAGCTAACTCTGCCAAAATAGCCCAAGTCTACTCAAGAATTGGGATAAATGTCACAAAGGGGAATAGAACAGCCCCCTTTGGCCCCATGGATGATGTTAAGGGAATGGGTCTAAGAAAGATTCCGATTAGTTACAAACTTATAATTTTAAACTTTAAACAGTGCAATTGCAAGCCACTGCGACATTAGTGTAGTGCTCCCAATTTACAAAAGATGGTCATTTGAATATTGAAATTGACATATAATTCATCTAGTTGTGAGCACAATTACAGTTCATTTGAGATGGAAAGTTGACAATTTGCAAAGATTAAAACATTTAATAGTACTAGTAACCAGTATATAAGTTAAACTATGATTACAACTTGTAGCTATAGTGCTATACTACTTTGAACATAAGTTTAATCAAAGCCGTAGCACATTTATTATATAGTTCAATCACTTTAATCGCATGTTTCCAGTATTCTATAACTTGAAAGCTCTAATTCTTTAAATTTAGCTCATTTTCCCACGAGTGCATGCAAAGAAACAAAGTAGGCTTGAGCAAAAAGAAACTTAAAAGATTTAGTCTTCGTCCAATATAATTAGAAGCTAAAGAAGTGCTTTAATGATCATGACAAGAGGGATCTCATTGTTGTGAAAGGCAAAGATGCTAGTGAGTGGTTGGTTTATCCCAGAGCAAAAGATGCCTTTCTCAATGAGGGACTGACCAAGGATATGGTTGAGGAGGCTTTGGGTCAGATTGTCTACTATCTCAGTACACAGCGCAGGAGGAGGAGGAAGATAGAGGAAAAGGAAGAGGATGCCGATTCAGAAGAGAATCAGAGGGGCATTATGTTGAGGATTCTGAGCCATCAACATTAGAGTCATCACCCTCCTCAACATTGCTTAGATTCTATAAAAAACACTCGAGATCAAGATTTGGATCCGAATGCACACATTGCAGCAATCCTAAGTTGAAAATTAACTTTTCATCATCTAAACTTTTATGATTCCTTATTTTTTGTTTTCCAGATTTTTTTAGCTTTCTTCTTCAACTTGGGCAGGACTCAGCAAGTCAACACAAGAATAGTGTTACGACGCACTACATGCACTCGCCAAGTCTCGAGCAATTCCTCTTTTAAAACACTGCTTTCCATCATGAAAAAGCACTACATATAGGACAGACATGGTTCATTTGTAGAGCCTGAGTCAAGACTTTGGGGAATAAGACAGAGCCAAGTGAAGAACAAATTGTTGCAACCATACCTTTACGAGAAAGTAAAGACTCCCATAATCGAGTAGCCTTAGAAACCAAATGTGGCTTCTGATCCATTGAACCCGAAACATGAAAATCCCATAACTCTTCCTCCAACTTAGCCTTATTCCTCATATCCTGAAGCTTTTCCAATTCTTGCTGCAAGTAAGCCTATATGAGAGAGAGAGAGAGAGAGGAGAGAGAGGCAATAATTAGAAGAGACAAAAAGAAGAAAACTGTAAAAAATAGCAAAGATTAATAAAATTGCTGTAAACAAATGGGCACCATCCACATATAAGACCCTATACCTCTTCAGCACAAAGACCACGAAACTCAGCTGTCATATCATGAGCCAGGCTTGACCAAGTTGCTTGTCTGTGCACAGCTGTAGTTGCATTCTTAAGAAACCGTCGTCGTTCAAGTGCTATTCTAGCCTGTTAAAAAGAGTACTCAAGTGACATACTTATAACTAAGAACTGGCATCTGTAAGCATATAAAAATTGTCGTTCGAAACAGTTACATCCAGGCAGGTCAAATAATTAATTACAAATAGTTACCTAGATCAATAAGATAAAGCAAACTGCCACTGGCCTATAACTTATCAGAGGAAAGAACAGAACACTATAATCCAATGGAATACAAAAATAATTATCCCCCTGGGTCATCAACATTTGATAAAATCGACAACATGAACTTTAGACCTAGGTTTTTATCAGTCTCATGTAATAAAATGATGAAATGTGGTGGACAGAGGGGGGACCAACAGTGATGTCATGCCCCAGTCTCTCTCCATCACAATCCATCGCTACATTGGCTGGTGATGACCATTGGATTGTAATATACTTTCACATCTACCATTATGTTAACTAAAATAAATAAGCAAAAGTTTACCCAAGTAATCTCCCAAGCTTCAACATAGTAAAGAGTTGCAATTCACTTCCAGAATACTATGATAATAGCAATAATGGATTTATAGAAGTGGATATCATGCAGATTCATCAGTTAACACAACGGCATAGTTAATAACAAATTCTGCTGCAAGCCCCGATCTTTCTTCTTCTTCTTTTCTCTTTTTCTTCTTTTTTTTTGGGGGGGGGTGGAAGGGGGGGGGGGTGTGGGGTAAGGACCCCATTCATTGATTCATTTTCACACCCATGTATTTCATGAAGTAACTAAAATATCATTTGTGGTTGATGCAATGAACAACTATTTTGCAAATCCGGAAAAGGCTTTTGCTTAATAAGCCACAATAAAAGATACAATGATGTTTCAGGGACTTTCACCCTTTACCTTTTTTACTCTTTTTTTATTTATATAACTAGATGAAGAAGTAGGCCAAACCGACCCAACTTATTAAAGTGACAGAGAGCTTCATTGATGAATATCTTGCAGAAGACTTCATTATAAGAAATCCGCCAATATGAAATGCTGCTGCAAGGCAAGTAGTCCATTCCAAGAACACGTCTAATATTATCAGAGACCTCTTTTCCACCAATTCCTAGGGGTGTAAATAGATGAGTCTGGGTCAGGTCCGGATAGGCCCCCGATCCAACTGTAAAGTGAGCGGACCTGGACCGGACCGGCTCTGAAAACCAGAAGACTGATTGGGTGGTTAATGGTCAATAGGTGTCAGTTTCAAACCTTCAAAAATTCCTGGAAATTCACATATACATGGTAATGGGTGTAGGAACATGGCCTGTGGTAATGGGAGTAGGGTAGGGGCTTGTGGTCCAAAATCCTTTACGCTTCCACACACACATACACACACACACACACATAGATAGAGAGAAAAAGAGAGAGACTAAAATCACATCTATATTATTTCCCATCAACACTGTTCAAATAAAATTGTTTGAACATTGGTTATCGACTCCACTGCACTAGAAGAGGTGGGTGCATGGGTGTGGCTGTGACTGTGGCTGTGGCTCTGTGTGTGTGTGTGTGAGAAAGAGAGAGAGCAAAATCCACACAAGAGATTACCCAAGAAATTCCTAATGAGAAATCACCCAAAATATCCCAAAAAAACGTTTAGAGAGAGAGAAAGAACAAACCAACATCATAAATCACCAAGAATCCTAAACAAAGCCAAAACCTCCATGTTTGATTCCCCAATCTTCCTCCAGAGTTATGTCTAGTGTCTGCTTCTTGACTAGGATTTCCGCATCTTTTGATATCAGCCATCCATTTGTCCTTCATATCAATCTCATCCTGCACAGGATTGCATCTCTCTTTGATCTCAGCCATCCATCCGTACTTCCTATCGACCTTGCAGAGCTCACCAAACCCTAACTCCAGTGCAAAGATGTGATTACTAAAGCTCTGCAAACAACATATGCTCTAAAACCTTCTCATAGAGACATCAAGGAAGGGTTTTCTGGATCTGAAGCAAATCCTTAACGCTCTCAAACCCATCACCAGAATGGGATAAAACAGAATAGTGAGGAATTCAGGAGAGAGAAAAGATGAAGGGAATGGGTTGAAGAGGTCCAGGGATCAAAGAATAAGGGATGTCAGGCCATCGCCATAGATGCAAAGAAGAAGTGGAGCAGAAGGCGATGAAGAGAGAGAGATTTAGGGTTTTTGAGATGAGTTCTCTGAGGTTAGTCTTTTTCAGAGAGAGGGGGTGTCTCGATTTGATGGTTTTTACCTTATAAAATTTCATATGTTATGAATATATATATATATATATAGAAAATGTTTCAATAACTGGGTCAGGTCGTGTTGTTTGCACGTAGACTCGAGCCCAACCCAAACCCAAGAATTAGTCAGGTCTACGCCTCTGGACCCAGACGCAACCTGTCTGGTTCAGAAGTTAGACCAACACCAGGACACGGGCCGAGCTGACGAACCGATTTACCAGGCCTAGCAATTTCCTATGTGTTTATGACTATATGCAAAACTTGTGAGGCACCAAATGATTAATGAACTTACAGCATTGCACGGATAACAACCCAATACTCAAAGATCTTATTGTTAGAATTATCAATGTAGGTAAATATATTCAAGAAAAACATGGGATCTCTTATAGTTAGCCATGTAAAACCAGAAACATCCAAGAAAAACAGTAGGTCACAGTTTTGGTCCATTAATGTTCCATGACATCCAAGTAGCTTTTCCTACATGCCAGTGACCCTTATGCCTTCCTACTCTTCAAGGATTGCACAAGCATAAAACTTTCCACAAATCTTAGGCCTTTCTGTTTGTCAAGGAGTGAACTAACATAAAGCTTGTCACAATAATTTTCCCAAGTTTTTCCAAAGGGAATTCATACTATAATGCACTATAACAACGGACAGTGGAAAACCCATAGCCACCAGATCATCATCATACATTGAGATAATGGATGTTAATCGAAAGATATTGGCACCAACTAAAATAGGACAAGGTCGCAATGGTGGGTCCCGTTCTCTCTCCATCATCATCCATCTTTTTGATTCACAGTGACGACCCAATGGACCATTTTTTTCCCCCTAGCCCATCAGATTATACCATAGTTCCCCTTATCCAATTACTCTGCACCAATTCATCATGCCAATCTATGCTAAAACAAAGGACACATGAGAGAAACTACATAAATCACTTGCATTTTGCATTCTCATACTTTGCAAAACCAGAATCACCTACACCGTACTGAAACAAAAAAGGGAAAAAAAAACTGTTGCATTTAATAGATAGATTACTGAGAAAAAGCTAGTCAAGCAAACAAGATTACACGATGAAGAAAACCGAAAGCAAATGAACTCTAAAGCTTACCTTTGTGACAGGAAGAAGAGTAGCTGCATGCATATAGGGAACATCTGTCAGAGAAGCTGGAAGTGGATTTGAAACCACATCAGCTTGAAATGTCCGCCTGTGAACCTCTCTCAAAGCATGAAAAGAGAGTTGCCACAAAAGCTCAACAAATCTACATGTGACAACAAATGCAATTAAAATCATATCAACATCCTACAAACCCATCATAATGAACAGCATTAGAAAGGAATGCATACAATGACCTAAAATCATCATCCAAAACATGTAAACCCGACTTGAACAATACAAACAATTTAAGATTTAGAAGAAAAAACGACCTAGAAGAATGATTGATCATAAGGTTCAATAATGATAACAGTTTGGCCACATCCATATGATAATCAATTAAATAATTGTGAATTTCATATAAACCGGTCTCTGGCACACCCCACAATGGAGGAAAGCAAATCCTGCGTTGCAGAGTTCATTAGAAAAAAAAAGGATCTAGATACATGCCAAAATACTAAGGTTTGTACACTTGTTAGTTCTTCCGGCACAAGACTATGACACCAGGCTCAATATCTCAATGATCATTGCTTCCCAAACTTCCATATGATACATCTACTGTCAGGAAAAGGAGAAAATTGGTACTCAAAGCTAAGCAAGCCTCCCTAAGCCCCTTAAAAAGAACCACAAAATTGGACCTCACTCTTATCTCATGTACACCGATATCAACCAACCAACACTCATTTCTAGTATTCTGTTCCTTTGTTTCTCTGCAAAAGATTGTCTTAGGGATCTCCCAAACCCTATCCTCTGCTTCATCGGCACCCTTTTCCTCCGACAGTGACTGCTGCTATTCCCCCTTCCCAAAGAGAGACTCTTTTTAGGCTTTTTCCCCTCACAATCCTCCCTCCAGTCCTATATTTCCTTGTCTTCCTTCACTAGGTCAATATGCCATGTAATTACTGCATCCAAACAGAAAACATGCATGCCCAAGTCCCCCTCCTTGACCACTTCAACAATTCCTAGTACCTACTTGACCAATTTCCGCCTCTTCAACCCCCATGGTTCCTGCCATTTCTTTTCTGTCTCTTTATTTCCTTTTATGGGGAGGTTGGGCTATAACAAGTGACCTCAAACTGTACATGTTTTGCCTTCCACAATTAGTTTGGGAGACATCATAAACCTTGAAAAATCAATTGTTTTACTTCAAAAAATAATCAAGAGTCATCAATACCATAGCAGAAGCTTAGTTAAGCGTGAGTTGTCTGTATGAAGCTTGCAAGTGACTTCTGAATCACAACCAATTAGAATCTACCACAGGCAGCAAACTACATAACCCCAACAAGGGGCCCTATCAGAGAGCAAAATTAAATAGTGTACTTCTCTAGTTTAGATATATCAAGCATGTGTAAGCTCTTATACTGTGTGATAGTCAAATATGGAAAGTTTTGACAAATTCTTCCAACGTGATAGAAGTACAATGAAATTTTAAGGTAGTTAAACATAATTAACTTGATATGGTCCAGTATTCATGGAGCAATCCACATGTTTAACCGACCATTATTCTGAATGAGCCATAGTTCAAGCTTAGGCCATATGCCAATTTCAAACAACACCCTCATCTGATAGACTAAACCGCGAGTACTGCACACTGTTTTAAGAAATCAAATAATAACATATCAATTTAATCACAGCTAGTCCTGTGTTTTTTTTTTTGTCGGGGTGTGTTTCCATAACTTATTAAAATGGTTTTATGAAAAGCAAAAGTTGTCTTGAGACTCTCAAATGACAGTTCAACGAGTAGAATATACAATCTCTCCCACTTTCTCTCGTATATGCTTCATTTATACCTTGGTCCACAACAAGTTGCGAGAGACGAGACCCGTGAATTACTCCTTGGCAATGCACCTTGAGATTCCAGCTCATGTATGATCCCTTGCACAATCTAGAAGCAGAGAGAGAGAGAGAGAGAGTTGATACATTTTTAGACCTTAAATAGTGAACAATAGAAAAAAAAAACTAGATAACAAATTACAACAAACAGGAAATATAAATGAGAGATGAACAGTCACCTTTCTAAAGTCCCGAGACTGCCCAGAATCGAAAATTGGCCAGACCTTATCGAAATCCTGGTGAAAATTTAAAAAAAATAAATAACAAAATAACTTCTCTGCAATAATTATCATTCAAAAACTGAATAAAAGCATAGACAGATAAAACCCAACATGCGAATTAAGAGTGAAAAGAGAGGGATATGGGGGCAGTAAAATTGATTGACATTTTGCAAATGGATAGAGAGAGAGATGTAAAGGGAGAGAATTTACTAAAATTGAATGGCATTTGTGAATTGGGTTGAGAGATGAAAATTAGTAAACTTAGGCAAATTGGTGGGGTGGGGGGGGGGGAGAGAGATAGAGAGTGAAAGACTGAATTGATTGACATTTGCAAAATGGGTAGAGAGAGAAAATTGACAGACCTTTGCAGACTGGGAGGGCCCCCGAAGAGCTGAGAGGATGAAATGGAGGAGGATCTCTCCCATTCGAGGATTTGAGTGCTTGAAAAGGCCAACCTTCTTCTCTGGTAAGATGGAAGGGTCCAACCCCAAGAGCAAGCAGTTGGTGTACATTGCAGTTTCAAGTTCCCCCTCTCTCTCCTTCTCTCTCTCCATGCCTCCCCCTTCAAAGACTCCAATTGAACGAAAAGAGATGACCCAATTCGCAGATCACACTTTCTCTCTCTAAAATCCTCTCATAGCGGCCTCTCACCACATGGCTGGAGCAAGAAGAATAGGAACACCCCAATTTGCAGATCGAGCTCAGCCTCTCTCTCTCTCTAAAAGCTATTCAGTCTCGACTCTCTCTCATTCTCTCTCTAAAAGCTATACAATCTCGACTCTCTGTCTCTCTCCTGCCTCGGCCATTACTCATCTTTCAGGAGTGCAAATCAAATGACGAGGGCGCACAAATGCAACCATCTCTCTCTTTCAATCTTTCTCTCTCTCTAACCAAATGCAAGCGCACAAACGCCGTCGGTCGGGTTTGTATCTCTCTCTCTCTAGAAAAAATGGGTTATGATGAGAGCGCCCACGTCGTCACGTCTTTTTGAATTTTAAGCTCGGGTTTTAGAGAGAGAGAGAGAGAGTGAGATCCAAATGACGGCTCGCCGGCCGGCCGGCCGGCCGGACGGCCGATTCCCAAAAGCTCGAATAACTGAAAGTAGGTAGGACTGTTTTTTCCCTTTAAATTAACCGAATTATAGATGTTTTTATGAAATATGACTTTTTGTTAGTAAACGTGTGAAATTAGTTGAGCTCATTGAGGTTGAAGTAATAAGAATTGAGCAATAATAAATGGAAAATTAATTAAAGCACTTGCAAGAAAATAATATTTAATATTTTATCCGTATCTTTATTGAATGGAAAACGTTTAGAAAGTGTGAGGCTCTAAGCAATTAAATTAGGGCGCACCTCAAAATTTTCATTGGAAAGTATTATTTTGATGCTCAAATATCCTCCAATTGATCATCTTGATCTCAAGATACTTGGATATGATAAAAAAATAGATTTCAAGCTTTAGAAATAGTGCATCTTATAATGTATTTTTTGACCGTCTATTTTCAAGTTTTCATATATTTGTTTGACCTGCAATATTTTTTAAGCTTTAAATTTTATAATTAAATATAAAAATATATTTTAAGGCTATCACAAAGATTTTCAATATTGAAGCCACATTTCTATTTGAAGGTGTATATTACTTTTACTTTGATTGTTTAGAACCTTGGCTCTATGCAAATTTCACTCATAAAATAATATATAATCTTGAATTAGGATGGTTATAAAAAGGTACATTGTTAAATAATTTACCTCTTGTGGATATTTTGATTAATTTTTTGGGAAGTGGCATTTCTGCACCTTCCTTTTGTAGAAAGGATAAGTGGGGACTTGTGCACACTCCTTTTGCTATTTATAAAACCCCATTCGAACCAGCACGATGTGAAAGACATTTTAAATTGCTACAAAAGCATTTTAATGTTTGTTTTTCAAAGTTTTGCAAATGCATTTAATTGATATGCATAGATATGAAATTAACAATCTAAAATTAAAATTTAAAATACGTAACTTGCAGTATTTAAATTATATCCTTTTTAATTTTATGATGAGTGCATATACTGTGTTCCCAAGCAGAGTGTACATATGCTCCTTCAGTTAGAAAATCCATTTGGGATAATTTTAAAACAAATTTGGGAACAATCGGATAATCATTCGATAGTTATTTTAAAAAAAAAAACAATATTTAAATTTATGTGTTTTTCAATCTTTGGATTTCACATTCTCATTCGATAGTTATTTAAAACATATATATATATATATATATATATATATATTTAATTTTTTAGTTTTTCAATATTTGGATTTCACATTCCAAATATGGGACGGCCTCTATTCAATATCGAGATAGTTTTTTTTTGGAACGCACGTGACTTTGAAGAGGTATGCTAGCTCAAGCACCAAACTATATCCTTCAAAAGCAGTGTGGTAATTTGTAATTAAACTAGACAATAAATAATTTAAGGGCAAGCTTTTTATGCTTCCCCTACAGCATAAAATTTATATACTTCCCTTTATCCAACCATCCATTCTGAATGGAGGGCTAAGATTGCTCCAATCACAATGTCACGTCTCTACACTATTTTATTTTTATTTGTTTTCTATGAACTATTTTGACACCAAATTTGGACGTCCAATCCTATATGAAACTCGCACTAGCGAAAAATACTAAAAAAATATTTCAATAAAATAAAATGATCAAAATACCCTTGAAAGTTTCAAAAGATATTTTGGTCATTATATTTTATCGAAATTTTATTTTTAATATTTCTTACACGTGCGCCCCAATGAGAATATGGCACATACCAAATTTCATGTCATACAATTTACATAAAAAAAAAAAACTAAAAACAAAATACTTTGAGACGTCGGATTTAAGATCAAACGGCGAGTGGCTCTCTTGATCAAAATTGGACGGTTGGATGGTAGGGGAAGTATACATCTTCTATGATGTAGGGGAAGTATAGAAACCTTTCCTATAATTTAATATGGATGGTGGATATTTATTTGCAAAGCGAGCACTTGCCATTCTCAATGTAAATGTTGAACCTTGGACTAAGTTGAACATAGACCCATTTTAGCTTCCAATTTTTTTGCTTTCATATAAAGAAATGATGTTTTGGTCCCACAGGGATAGACGATAAGACGAGAAAGAGCATACTTAGATGGCTGGCCATGTGTGGTACAGGTCCAATAGTAGAAGGCTGTAAAAAGGTAACGGGGACAAAAAGACAGTTAAAAGTAGTGAGAAAATATATGAAAATTTATGACCTCGTTGAGGATATGACTTTTAATATAGTAGAATAACGGATCAAGATTCGTATAGCCGACCCCAATTAATTAGAAAAAAGCTTTAACGATGGTAATGTTTTAGTCTCAAAAGTATTTGATAAACAAGCTCAAGGCTGAGGTGATAAGTTGTGAAGAGTTGCATTCCTTTAGAATCCCAGTTTAATATTAAAAAAGAGAGCGGGGGAAGGGGAAGGGGAAGGGGAAGGGGAAGGGGGAAGGGGGGGGGGGGGAAGAATTCCAAAAGCATTTGGTAAATGTCTTACCTCTAAGTGCTTTCCAGTTATTTGGATTTCAACATCAAAATACCTTATTACCAATGTACCCACCAAATTTGCCTAAAGACACAAATGTTCATAAATCCCTCCGTTGAGGGTGACTGGTCGGATTGGGCTTAAAATGCAAATCTTAGGCACCAAGGTCCACTAAGTAACGATGGCTACCCAACACCTTACAAATCCTTTTGAAAACTGAGATCACTGGTCAAGATCAATGAAAGACCTGTAACAACTAAAACAGTCCGGAAGTTTGATTAACAAACAACAATATTGCATGTTAGATAGCGTTGGAAACGGCAGGCCAGGGGGTCGGGTCCAGGCAAAGTCCTGGTTAGTAGGGGTGGCAATGGGTCGGATTCGGCCTAGCTGGATCCGGACCCAGACTCATACCCGAATGTATTCAGGTCTATGTTTGGACCCAGACCCAACCCGTCGGGTCTAAAAGTTAGACCCATACCCATAACCATCGGGTCCCGGGTCTATTTTGTCGAGTCCCCGGTCTAGTCGAGTCCATTGCCACCCTCACTATTAACTTCCTTTTTTGTAGCCGACAATGGTGAACAACAGAGAGCTAATTTTGGAGGGGTAGACGATTAGAGAGAGAGAGACAGATAGACAAACAGACATTCCAGATCCACAAAGAGAGCTATGTCTCCAAGAAACTGAGAGAGGGAGAATTACAGAGACGGAGGATCCGATGGGGTTTGGCTGTTTGGGAAACTAGGGGAAGACGAAAAGTATTGAAATGATGTTAAAGTTGGGGCTTTGGCCTTTGGGAAATTAAAAAATTAGGTCTGGGTACCTGTTGGGTCGGGTATAGCAAGACCCGTACCAAGACCCGGGACTATCCGGGTATCCTTTATTGGACCCGGACTCTACTCGTGGGTCCAAAACTTGGACCCATACCTAGACCCATGTCGATATATCCAACGGATATAGGTCGGGTACGGGTCCATTGCCATCCCTACTGGTTAGACCTAAACCCGATGTGCTCCAAGTCCAATGGACACAAAATCCAATTGGTCTAGTCAAGTCATGTTAGATCGATAGATTTGTCTAGATTGGTCATGTATTGTTCGATTCAAAATCACATACACACATACATGTGAACTCCAAAAGACAACGGTGTGTCACAATAATCAAAGAAAAATTTATTTTGGACTTTGTACCTAAACAATGACACATCTTCAACCAATCAATTTTAAATCTAACAATGAATTATGATTGTGACCTCCTTATATTAAAAGTAAATGGTCTCATTGTACTCTCTCTCTCTCTCTCTCTCTCATATATATATATATATATACCCGTCAAGATTAGATGCGGCATGATGAGAATAACACACACCTAAAATTTCAAGTGATTTGAATTTGTAAAAAAATAATTAAAATTCAAACACTATTAGACATCTGTGTTCGTCAGATCGGCTCAGATTCAATTTGGACCGTTAGGCTTATACTATTCCATGAGCTAGTGGGCTCACCTAAGCTTTTTCCATATATATATATATATGGCAATGATTTCATCCGATCGTTGTCTAGTAATATGATGCAACAACCTTAAAAAAACAACTTACGCCCATTTGTTTGATTCAAATTTTGAAATATATATTATTCTCATTCTAATGAACAATCACAAAAAAAATAAAAAAATTGAAAACACAACTTAAAAAGTATTTTTTAGCAAAAATTAACATAGGCTGTTCATTTTGGTGAGATGCTTAGATCTAGACCTAAAAAGGACTTTTTCATTTCCATTTTGTTTGGATGGCTTTATTATCATTAGATGAACAATGTTAAAAAATAAAAAAATGATTTTGAGTTTATAAAGGCTAAGATATTGAAATTTACAAAATGAATTGTCTAGATTCATTTTTGGAGGGGACTCATTTTGAACATATATACGGTTCAAATTGAGCTTTTTTTTTTTGGTGATTGATTATTGAGATGAAGAGAGTGTGTGTGCAAATTTTGAGGTCATACAAATACCACAAACATAGTTTTTTAGAAGTGCCGTTGCAATATACTATACTACAACCGTTGCATTGGATCTTTGCCTTTATATATATAGTAGTCGTGGGAGCAAGGCACACGAGGGGATAGG